AGCTAATCCCTATCTCCGGAGATAGGGATTAGCTTCCATCTCCGAAACGTCGTTTTACGTTTTATATTTTATATTTTACTAGACGATGGATAATATCCAAGGAAATTTTTATTCAAAAGCTGGATGTTGTTAGCCAGCTAGTTGAGGCTTACGCTCGCTACTAAGTTCCGTGTTGGTGAAAGGTCGCAACTGTGATGATAAAATCTGAGGACGAATGTGAAACAGCTTTGGAGGCGGGATGTATGACACTCTTAAGCTTTAATAAGCTTAGTTGGAAGAAATTAATAGAACGATCAATACTATGCCTCTCACCAAAAGTCTGAGTCTGCTCCGAAAATATGATGTTGCTGTATACTATAATGTTTCTTAGTTTTTTGTGTTCACTTTATTCCTCATCACATGCCTCTAAGTTAGGCTGTTTGTCTACTCGTACTTAAACTTCTGTATGCATTTGCCTTTGTTTTTTCACGTAATTAACGAATTTAATGTTTATAGAAGTCGTGCCACTTCAAAAGGGCCATTTTCAAAACTAATGAATGACTTTTAATTAGGACTTACATTGGCGGTTTACAATACAAGTCGGGCGAATTTAATTTTGATTTATATTTGTCCCCAGGCCTAAATGGTTAGACCATATGGAGATGAATCTTTGTGAAACAGGATGAGAGAGTGTGGACTGTATTTATCTGGCTCAGGAGAGAGACAATTGACTCTTTTTTAAACCCGATAATGTACTAGTACCATTTCTTTAAAAGGTGGGTAATTTCTTGATTGGTACACCGAGAAGGACTCTGCTCCATCAAGTTAGTTATTATCTGTTTGTGTTTGTTTTGTCTTGTTGAGTGTATAAACCCATTGGAATTGCTATTTTTATATTAACACGAACCGGTCCAGTGGAAAAAGTGTTGTGCTTCGCTTAGCACGGAAATAAAAAAAAATATGACACCTCAATATAAAACGTGTAGCTACTTCTGTGATCACAGGGAAATAATTGTGTCAAGACTCCTCGAGTGGAAAGTGGAACAGATATTGCTTTAGAGCCCTTGATGCATTGACGGGTCTTTGTTCTGCTCTTGAAGCGGCCAAGTGGAATCGAATCCTCGGGTCTGAATTCAAACGGATAGCTAGTTACCCTATCAGCGAATAGAGCAAGCAGATTAATCATTATGTGAACAGCATATAGACCTAAAAATCCAGCACCTACTCCAGATATGGCTACCACTAACAAAATTGTGAACCAAATTTAATAACCACAGCTCACATCAACGTCGTTATTTTGTGAATATGGGCAAAAATATTTATTTTCTGATTTTTTATACCTTAAAACCTCCGAAACTGAACTGAAACGGCAGCGAAACAGCACAGTCGCTGACAAAATGTTATTCGAGCCAAGACGACGTAATTAACATATTACCGATAATGAAGCAAACTGTTTTGTTGTGAGATTTGAGATTCTCACAGCGGTGAGGACGACGATGTTTTAGGTGTGGGGGTAAACTTGAATCGGCACCCCGAGGTATTTGAGTTTCCCACTGCAGTATCAAAGAACTCTTTCCGTGCTTGTCTGTTCTAAGAAGGTGTCCGTCACACAAGAATAATGTTTATATCTTGGTGGAGTCATGAAAATGCAATCGATATATGCTGTGGGAGACTGAAGTTTTACTGTTACTCCTACTGTTTGAATAGTTACATGTATGAGGTGTACGTCGTGCATTTGCTACCACGCGGCAGATAGCAGCACATGCGCATGAATCCAATTTTTTTTGTAACGCGTCTTTTATCTGTGATAAGATCGTAGCAAGCACGGATAGTACCGACATATGTAGTAGGCGTAGCGTGCTATAGTATGTGTACAGATCAATGTAAGATATTGAATTATTACGTGAAGAAGGCTGTTAATTACATTACTATCATTGTTAGTAACCAAAGCAGTGTGTTTCTGCACAATATTAATTAGTAACGAAGGAGTGAAGTAAGGCTTGTGGACTGAGTATTTGTTTATTTTCTATGAATGATGTTGATACCCGAATGGAACCAGTTTCCGTGACCATATTCTTATGGATTTGGATTGTTTATTATCGCAGAGCCATGTGATATGGCGTAGTAGTTAGTTCCCATTAATTTAATTCTGGTTCAGAAAATCCGTTTATATTTAAAATTAGGACTCAGAATGCAGTTTCGATCCACTGTCGCAATTTGGGCAATTGGATTGGTTCTGGTGAGGATAGTGTAGTTGTTTGCACTCTAACCACATTGTGCATTATATATGTTAATAGTATTTCATATTTATATTATATGAATCATAATTAAAAAAACCTTTGAATCCTATTGAGTTTCCCTTTGCCCTGCATTCCATTGGTGTCAGCCCTATTACCCATGTTAAAATAATACAGTAAATTAAAATTAGTGGTACAGAGTTAATCAACTGAAAGAAAACAGTTAAAAGAACAAAAACAATCCAAACATAATGGTTTGTAAAATATGGATGTTGTATAACATGCTTGTAATAGGAAATATCAGAAGTAAAAAAGTAAAATATCATTCATATACACCTTGGCCAAATTGTAATAACATTTTGTGACGAGCTCTGTTAGATTTCTTGAAGAGGTGGTTATTTTATATCTATTTAATACGTATATGTAGTTTGTTTTAAAACATATCCTGAAATGGTTGGTCTAATATTGTAGATTTAAGTCTTTTATGTGGTAGCTGAGGTTGGTCCTAGTTTTATAGCCATGTATTTGATCATTTGTCATACTTGTACACTTTTTAATTTATAAATAAAATTCCTTCTTATATGTTCAATAATATTAAGCTTGTGTATTTATTTTAATGAAATTTTCTTTACAGGAGTGAGTTTACTTTAAGCCATCCTTTTTTGCAATATAAATAATCTCCTTGTATACTTATTAGCACTTTGTTCCCAAACAGCAGTTCCATATGAAATAAATGGATACACGACCCTGTAACAGATTATTTTAAGAACATCCACTTTGGTGTTGCTATTTTTGAAAACCTTTAATCTAGAAATAAGTTTACTTTGCTTTGATTGTTACAAAGTTTGTTTAGTTCAAATGTGTGTAAGTTAGATTAAAAATATTGAATTACCTTACTCAGAAGATACAGCAGTTTTTAGGTCCTCTAAATTTGTCCCCATGTTTAGAAAAAGGTGTCATCTGTAAACATAGTTGCTCTGCCTCAATGAGATTTTGGTTTATTACTGATGTATGTGATGAAAAGTAAAGAACCAGGTAAGGTGCCAAATATGTAATTGTTTTTGCAGTGGACAGGTCTATACTAAAGTTATGTATTTTTGCTCATGCTAAGGTATGCTTTCACGTACCATTAACAAATTGTAATTCAGAGATAGGTTGTGTTTAGTGAGGAAATATTAGGTTCATTTTGGTTCTAGTAAGTATAAATAAAACAAATTATACAATGACATTTGCAGTAACATCGTGTGTTTGTAATTACCATATTGTAAACATTGTTCTCTGCTATGTTATTTGTATTGGATTAATCTTACTTCTGTATTTGTTTTTGAAGACAATGGGCATTGGAAATTGGAGACAAAAAACACAGGATGGAGCCAATGGTGAGCAATCGTGAAAGAGGCCAAGGTTCATCATGGACTGTAGTGCCAATAGAAGAAGAAGATTATTCTTATAAATGATTCTAATTTGCACATAAGCATTAAGTATTGACTGCTATAAAGTATAACACTTATTTCAGGAGCATTTTATTTGTTTAAGTATAGGATTTAATGAAAGCAATATAATTTGGCTGTACTTGGAATAAATTGTGAAGAAGTATGGTCTATGCAGCAGTGTAACTTATCTGAAAACAACGGAAACTTTTGTATGATTGCCCTGTAAAATGTAGTAGTATGTTCTGTGATCCCACCTAAAAAGTGTGTTTGCACAGACTAGAAGTTCAGAATAGTCATTTACATATGATTTGTTTGAGTTAATAGAATTTATTGTTAAATTGGTGGAGATTGATTTATCTCATGGAAGGTTATTGTTACGTTTGTGGAGATTGATTTATTTCATGGGAACAGTCTTTGGACTGCAACATTTTGCCAAATTGATTGTATTTACGATATTAGTTTAGCTGGCTGCTGTGTAATTCAGTATAATTGTTTGCCACCTATCAGTAGTTTCCTGTATCTTCTGTATACTGGTAGCTATAACTTATTCACTTGTTTTATGTCAGCATACATATTGGATCTGAATTCTAATGTTCTGGGCAGTATTTTAGTATCCAAAGTCTGTAAAGTGATCCATAGGTACCAGAATTCTAAACTGTCTTATGATGGTTAGAGAATGAAGATGGAAATGATTTAGACAACCATGAAGAAGACTTCAGTTCTTGGTGATCATATCTCAATTTCCAAAGTAAGTGCAGCAAATCCTTTTGTACTATATAATAAATAATAATCCGTGGCGTAAAAGCCCTCTGAGAGCCAAAGCCGACTAGCTGGCTGCTGGCCTCACATTCACATGCCTAAGCAGAGGTGAACGATCATCCAACCAGATATAGGGTGAAGTGGTCAGCATGATGAACCCTCAGCCATTGCTAGTTTTCATGACCGGATTATGCTACCCATTGTAGCTCCCCAATTTCCTCACGATGCTGTTTTGGCACCGGTCGAAAATCTCATGAGAAATTTCTTTCCCCGAGACTTGAACCAGCGAGCATTCCATATCAACTGTCCGAGGCATGATGCCTCAGACCGCGTGGCTACGGTGCGAGACTTTGTACTATATAACTCAGAAAAATTATAATTCTGATATTCCCAGACTTGAATTCATAAATCAATTGGTGTGCTAACCAGAGACATCTACCCAAATAGAGGTCAAAGTTCAAAATCAAGTGAGTTTTGGTCATGTATTAGACATTTTGGGACAAAGGAAGAACTAAATAGAAAGAGAACATGCCATGAAAAACAAAACTGTCATATAAGCAAAAAAACAACCATTGAGTGCATAGTAGTAGTATGTTATTCCTGTTGTCCATATAGTAAGGTGTTTAAACATGCAGTTGATATTGCCTGGACAAATGATATATTTGTTATTACGCCATTATTTATTAATTTGTTTTAATGAAAAAGTATATAGTGATCTCACAGGGGACTTAATGTATTAATGTACCCAAAATACAGTGGTTAAGGAAGGGAGTGTGAGGATGTGATGTTAAGGTCAAGTGGTGGGTTGTTGCGAAGGTAAACTTATGGTAAAACAGTGTATCTTTGAAATCAGTGGCTTATAGCCATTAATAGATCACAATGTTGTTCATGCTAACAAAATTCGATTAAATGTGGCGCGCAAATATCGTTTCAGTAGAAGGTTGGTAATCTGTGTTGAGGATAGACTATAGGCGTCGCTAATATGAACTTATAAATCCATTTACATATATTTCGTTCTCTTTGGTGCGTGCGAAGGAGTTGCGATCTGCTACAAGATTAATATTTTTACAAGGATTAGCTTGTGATAAGATGTTTTATGTTGATTCCGACACATTATATGCATTATTATTATTAGGCACAATTTTGGAATATGTGTTAGGATAAAATCCACACGTAAGACATTATGATTTTAGTGGTGTAAATGTCCTTTGTTAAACAGGTGTACGTTAAGATATTCTGCTGGATTCAGCAAGTGCGGTGTTTGTCTTTGTTTAATGCGAGATTTTAAATTTGATAAAATACATTTATGTTTTTATAAATGGAAAGTAGTAGGGGCAGTTCGAAGTCTCGAGAACAAGGGTGACAATTATTGCTTTATTCCAATTTTTTAATACATGCTATAAACAAGCAGAAAAGTGTTTAAATGGTAAACGTGCATCAGTAATGTTTTGTTGAGAGTCATAATAAATCGTTTCGTGAAGAAGGGCCTTTTAATGAAACCGGCATTTGTTTAGTCTTTTGAAATAGTACAACATGAATAATAAAATAACCAATAAAAAGTAAGTATTACTTGAATGCCGTAGTTTCAATTTAAGGAAGCCTTGGTACGACAAAAGCCATTATTTGGTTGTATAATAGTGCATCCTGTAGTCGGCATATTATATTTCACCTCAGCAATGTTCTTTTGAAAAGACTGCTTTTGCCTTGGTGAAGAGTTTTGTGGGAATACCACGGTTAGTGCCTTGTTCAACTTCAAGTGGCTGAACTGTCCCACTGCATGCATGATTTCTGACCGTATGTAGGTTCAGAGCATTTCTTATTATTGTACTTGCTTGACCTAGTACAAAGAGTAATGTAGTAACCCACTTGGGTGTATTAAAACAGAACCACACTCGAAGTAGTGTTTCTACAAGTATAGGTGTCCACAGTAAAGTGATAGTTGTAATTAAGTGTTTGACTGTGTTGGATGCTGAAACCATTCTTGCAAGATGCATGTTGCATGCTATCTCAGTATTATCTTGTTCTTCTGCTGTGGTAGTTGGTTCCTTAGATGGTTTAACTTCAAGTGACTGGATCATAGTCAAATTTTTATCTGTGGCAACATATATAACTAAAGAAGCTAGAACAGGAACAAAGTAGCTTAGAAATAATAAAACGAAGAGGTATCTCTTAAGGAAGGAACTAGAGAAGTAGCACTTGACAACACACATATTGACTGTATCAGGTATTTGAATGTGTGTCAGATCTGCTCCTGTTTGTGTAATAATCTGCGACTCGGTAGAGGGCCTTATGGTTGAAGTTATCTGTGATTCAGTAGCATATTCTGCACTTGTTTCAGTCTGTTGTTGAAATACTAATTTATTGCTTGTAGTCATTAGTTCTTCATCCCCTCTTGATGTTTGTGAAATAGCCTCAGTTCCTTCATTAGGCAGTGATAAAGAATTACTGGATTCTATACTAGCTGTAACAGGTATGATACTTTCTTCTGTGATGGATGATGATGAAGACATATCCTCACTTGATATTAATAGGCTTTGTGAAGTGGTGGTTGGAGAAGTATTGATTTTAACAGTTGAGAAATTGCTTTTAATTTGCTGGGCTTGCAGAGAATGAGAGGAATTTATGACAGTATCAGCAATCTCTGTCATGTCACTAGTCTCTGTATGCTTTTCGAATTGTTGATCCTGCTGGTTATGTGTAGGAGGTATAGAGTTTTTGTTTGGCTTATCTGTGACTTCATCAGTATTCAGAACATGATACAGTGTTTCTGTCGATGAAATAGAAATATCAGCATCCGATGTTTCATAATTGGGATATTCAAACGCAGTCTTATTCCTGTTCCCATGGTCTTCATTTGTTATGCTGTAGTAAGATGGGTCATCCTCCTTATTGTAATCATTATTCTCTTCAGGTTCATCTTCCATGTTACTGAATTGTGGGAATGTTCTATTATTCTCACCGACTGATCTATGGTTACGTAATGTCGAAACAGTGGAAAAGGAATTAAAATGATAGTGTTTTTTCTCTTCTGACTGATCTAATGATGTCAGTGATCCCAACACAATATTATATATTTTGTCCACAATGAGTGATGTCTTATTGCTTATTGTGTCTGTGTTATTAATAACATCTTGTTTGTGCTTGTTAATTGCTGCCTGGTTATGGGTGAGGGAATCATTGTGGTTGTTCATGATTTCCTTAATGTAGTTTGAGATGTCTTCTTGATGTGAACATGGTTCTATAGTCTCTATAGACATGGGGGTTATGGCTGTGTATGGTAGGCATGTCTCAGTGTCAGACTTAAAAGGATGAAAGTGCTGAACATCAGCTGAAAGCAGTAACAGTGCTGAAGTTGTTGGTATGAGCCACTGTCCAGCTATGCTAGAAAATACTCTGGGTTTTGTTATATTTCTCCATCCATGAAGTGCATTAGGTATAGTCTTTACGTTGTACGAATTTTCTGCTGAATGGGCCACCATTGAGACAAATGCATTGATGAATGGAGCCAAAAAGAGTGCTGAAGCCAATGTAAGTTGCCTTGGATTGCATTGAGTGGGAATCTAGAAAATGGGAAACAGTTTGTTACAATTGACATTCCAGTATTGATTCTGTATTTGATATTGCTTTATGCTAAATTAATTTTGCCTTGCATTTATTAAGGAGGGTGCTTTCAAAAGGTCACACATTAGAAAATCAGAAATGTTTATTTACACTTTTATAATCATTACTTGGTATGTTTAATGCCCTGGAAAATTGTAACAGTTCCAGAAAAGAACTGTTTGATATAATAGAGCTTTCTGGGTGAAAATTAAATATACAGATTTGTTCACGCTTCATTGTTGTTGAAATTGTTAATTGATTATATGACTTTGCAGATGTTCAGTTTTGTAAAATTTATACTTAATTTACAATTCTGTATCACTGCAAGGATGGGATACAAATGTAGAGAACTCATGGAAATGTGCTAGCAGCTCGTGCGGACACATAATATAAAACTGAAGTTTCACTTACTGTATGTCACAAAATTTCTATGACCATTACAAGAAACTGGAAGCTTTGCCTTGCCTTCTTAGACACATTGCATATGAATATAAAATTATGTCTGCAGAATGTTTGAAGACCATTTAAGATTTTATCTTCATAATTAGAAACATGCAGCTTGATTTTAAGCTGGTCTGTATACTAAAGATGTAGATTGGCTGATCTGAATTAGAAGTACATAGAAGAAAGGAGGGCAGACGCAGTGTACCCACATGGTGTCTTCTCTTTGCTACATATAATGACTATAACTTGAAATTTTGAAGATGTTGGAGCAAATCCTATCAGATCTTTCATTATGACACTTGTGATTTGGCCAACCCATCTAGTAGTAAAATTCAGGAGGGCACAGTGGGCTGGGCATGTGGTGAAGTTAGAGAAAGAAGAAATGCTTAGATACATAATTGGGAGACCTTGGGAAATGCATACCTGAAAAACCAAGAAGGATACAGGTGGATAACAGTAAAGTGGATCTTAAATAGTTTGTGAGAGTGTGAAATGAATTGAACTGGTTTGGTTTGGATATTGGTAAGGTTGAACATTTGGGTCCTATTACCCATTCTGTAATATTCATATATGAAATTGTCTCATTTCAAAGATTAGAGATGTACTGAATATAATTAATTATATATACAAACCATAGCAGTTCTTCCTGTGCCATTATGGCTATTAGATACATTCAGGAGAAACATGATGGATATTGCAACAGTAGCAAGAGAATCTGATGTTGCAAGCAGGGAGAAACCGGTCACTCCTCGGCGTGTCTGAAGCCACAAAAGATACAGGCTTGCCAACACACCTCCAGTGAGGAGTAGAGCACCCAGAAACCAGCATAATGTACTGGACATCATTTCTGTCTCTAGCTGTAAAATTAAGAATGTGTCAGACATTTGTAATTCATATGTCATCAGAAGTATCGAGCCTGACTTTCGCTACAATGAATGGCTCTTTAAATAGTATTGTCAGGTTTTGATTTGAACCAAAAAATTGCATTTTGGTGTTATGTTGGGCTTATTTACCAGTGCTTTAGGCATTCTAGTCAACTTTAACAAGTCCTAAATATAAATTGCATTGATTTCAGTCAACTGAAAGTTAAAATTTTGAATGCCATATGTTAGACCTAGGACAATTTGTTTTTTGGCTTTATCGTGTTTATGAATTTTGATTTCTACATACTATTCTTTTATGTCCCACGGATGGATGGTGTGGTAATGCCTTTTTATTCCGGGACTTTCACTTTTTTACTTTGTCCGGAGATAGGGATTAGCTCTATCTAGTGAGCCCAACTGTGTAGGAACCTGAAGACGGAGATAGAGTCCCATCTCCGAAACGTCGTTTTACGTTTTATGTTTACTAGATGATGAATAATATCCAAGTAAATTTTTATTCAATAGGACAATTTTAACGCAGTTAATCATAGAAACTAAATCATTGTTTAGTTTATAGCATTAAATAATTTGAGAAGGAAGCACATGCACTTTTCCCTGTTTCCTTTCAGTTTTAGTATATTTTCCACATATTTTAACATTCTTTCTTCTTTGCTTAGTATGGTTTTTCATTTTAAGAATTTTTTTTATTTGTATCTCAGAAGAAGGTATTGTGGTTTTTCAGCCCTGTGTTTAGTGTTTAATTATCCAAAAAATGTAACACTTACGGAACAATTACATTGGGCATAAAATGTGTTTTCTTTTTTCTACATCATCATCTTTGAAACATTTTACACACTTATAAATGTTTGATGAATTATGCTGAAGATGCACACTGAAATTTACATATTAGTGTATTGGCTGTTATTGTTGTCTGATTTTTATCAAAATTGAGATGAGGCAACAAATTTTGGTAAAACTCACCAATAAAAAATTTCATGAAGTTGTGTTCAGCAGTTGTCGAGTCATTACATGAAGAAGCTAATAGGTGGATTTTTAAAATGTTTTGTTCTGAATACACAAAAAGATGGGTGCATCATAAAGAAATTAATGTACATGATGTAAATGTGTACGTAATATCTGTGACATATTTAAATCATTTTCTTGTACTAGTGTATATTTAATTAAATACAAAACTGTTTACATCCTGTAGGAAAAATGCATGTCTGCTAAAAATCTAAGCCATATACTTTTAGTGTAGACTGTTGTACTAAGTTTCATCCAAAGCTGTTGGATTTTAAATGCATGGAGCATGTGAGGGGGAGACAGTTTTGTTTTCTACGGCCCACCCAGCCTCCTATCCAATGGGTATCGGGGTCCTTTCCCGGGGCTAAAGCACGGCCGGGGCGTGATGCTGACCACTCACCCCCATCTAGTGCTGAGGTCAAGAATGAGTAGGAACTATACCTCCTCTCCCCCCAAGCGCCTACATGGTGCATAGTGGGACAGCTTTACTTTACTTTTTGTATTTATATGTATGTTAAACGATGTGTGTGTGTTTCATGTATAAAATTCTTTCACACTTTACATTTGTCCGTATTGTAGTAAATAAAGTATTTACTGAAATTAAGAGCAATTCAGTAAATGTCTGCTGTCATTTAGCTTTATTTGTATGTCCTGTGTTAGAAACCAAAATATTAAAGTGTATAAAACTATAATTTTAATTTTTGTTTTGTATGTGTGTGAATTTCCACTTGTGAGAGGAGAATGTCTAAATGTCTGAGAAGGAAGTGCTGGGATAGAATATTTTGAATCTAATAAGGAGGAAGTGACAAGCCAGTGTCATTCTTATATGAACAGTGTTCCATAAGAGCAATGACTTTCTTGTCTATCAACTTTTCAAGATAGACCCTGCACCATGGGAGTTGGTTTGAAACCTGATACACATAGAAAATAATTTTGAATGTGAGGGCCCAGTGAATGTCTACTCAGAGGAATTAAAAGAAGGAAGGTTGATACAATGAGCAGTACTTACCAAGTAGAGTAGTCTGTAGTCACCTTCAGTCTGTCAGCCACTGTGATGCTCTGGGGAGAATTGTTTGACCAGGAAGCTTTTGTGTGTCAGCCTGCCCCCATCCTTCTGTTATGGGGGTCTGTAATTAATGCAGAGACTACACCAGCGCATTCTAGTGCTGCTAACCGATGGATATGATAAATTTCAGATTCATAGTTGATGGACAATGAGGGCTCACTTTACTCCACAGTTACTTTGCCTCAACATTTTTCTTTCTTTAATGTATGAGATGTGAGGAGCCACCACTTTGAGTTTCTTTATGCTGATTCACATTTGTGTGTGATTGAAACTTGTCACACAGCTTAAGAGACGGTGACTTCAACACTTTATTTATGTGGGCTGATGATAACACCTGTTGCTAACTGTACTGGAAGTATGATGGGGGAATCCTAACTGTCCAACATACTCCTGATGGTGCTGGGACATCAAAACCTTAATAAAACATGTTAAGGATAGTTACTGTACTCCTGATGTCTGTTCTCTAATTAAGTGCATTTGGCAGCAAGACGTATTGATTTTCAGCTGTTGTAACTGTTGCCTGACCAGGCTAGGACAAAGGTAGGAAAACACATCTTTGATGGGGGCATCCATTGAGGGTTTCCAGTTTGCTGTTGTTGATGGGGTGATAATGGAGATGATGTTTGCTGGCAGTACAATGTAAGGGTACTTGTCCATATGCAAGAAAACTTGCTAACTTGAATTTGTTAATTTTAAATAAACTTGGTAGGATTGTCACGATGGTACTCTATATCTGAAGACTTTTAACTTTGACCTCAGCATGGTAGTCATGCAGACTTTTGACTGTCATTCATTATAGTATTCAGAAATTTAATGTGGTAGGTATTGGAAATTTAGGCAGCTTTTATGACCTTTATTTGATTATCATTGTTGTCTGAAAGTTCATAACCTCTGCACTTTCAACATTTCTGTTCAATAACCTGCTAATCTAACCATGGTGACCAGCACAGTATGGGAGCTGGAAGTATATGCACAGAATGATGCACGCGCACACACGTATGCACAGTTCTTTCTCTCCGAAGAATGAAAAGGAGCTATATTTTTTTAACTCTTAGACCCAAAAACAAGCTGCTTGCGCAAATCATTATATCAGATTCTGGCATTCAGTAATTTTTAGCAGTATATTGAAAGAAAAGGGTACCTATATGCTGTACCATTGCATGCTGCCGTGTGTTTGTACACATGCCAATTTGTCTGATGTTAGTAATTTAATTTCATTATGTGCTGTCATGGTGGTTTTGACACAGTTAAGTTGGTGTATGAAATAGCCAAGTGTAGGAAATGCTGCACTAATTACTAGAATCCTACTTTTTACTAACAAAGAAAAAATGACATTGTTTAGTGTTAGCTTCCTGAAGTGGTAATGTATATGGTGTGGGATGATGATACACAGGAGACATTGACCTTGCTGTCTGATATGTTGGTAGCACCGAGCAGGTGGTGCAGTGTTTTGTGTTACAGGTTTGAAAAGTATTTTGGTGTCTTTTACAGTTGATTTATCATCTCTTAGTTGCAGGTGCAGTAACTAATTGAATATTTATTATCTGTAATGTTTGAACATGTTTATTTTTGAGCACCATTTACACAGGATTGTTTAGATACTGGTTCATGACTTTAATGCAGATTATCATGAGTAGCATACTATTGCATGTCATCTAGGGTTTGTAATTTAACACTTCCATATGAACATGGTGCCCTTAAAAACTTTTTAGCTGGGAACAATACTGGTGCTGTTTTGTGTAGCAAAACTGTACAGGAATATGGAAAATGAGAACATGGTGACAGAAAGTGTTTTTATGTGATGGATTATTGACGTGTGAAATTTGTTTCAAGTATGTCTACAGACTTTGTGTGGAACATTTTTTGTCTTGGTTTGTCATTCTGTGGTGAGTGTAAAATTATAATGTTCTTGAAAATGGGTTTTAGTTTGGGCATGTCTACATTCTTTATTTCCTGAAAGGTCTAGTAAAATTAACTTTCTGTAAGAAATGTGCAAGGTTCGGCATTGATAGTATTAAATCCTAAAATTGGACATGATCCTTACCCAGTTCAGTTTATATCCTTGCTATCTGTTTTCCAAAAATCTTAGTACCTTTCATTGAGCATGTTGGTGTAACTTAGTGCTGTAGTCTTGTATTCTGAACTGAGGGCTTGTGTGGTTTTCTTCAGCCCTTTATAACCCAAAATTACAAGTTTTCTAAGATGTACATTAATGTATGGGTTACCATTTACCAATAGGAATTTGAGTTACAATCGACTTATTTCAGAAAATGACTTTAATTAAAGTATCAACTGCAAATCCACTTGTGTTGTTGATAAGGTTTCTGGTTAAAAAAATTCTCTTGGGCTATCATTTTTGACAGACACCCTGTTGATTGGGACAGGTGGTCCCTGAAATGTCGGCAAATTTTTACCATTTGATGCAACTTATAGCCAAAGATGATTTTATTAATTCAGTTTCAGGGTTTCTGGTGTTAGCCCTGACATTAGACATGCTGTGATGGTGTATTGGTACATTTAGTTTTGGTTAATATCAAATTAGATGTGGTATGTGATTGATGTTAGCACATTGTGCATATATGTACAGCATACTATAACCGAAGCTTTACACTCTTATGTTGTAAATAGCATAATATTTGATATGAATTATATAGAACAGATTGCAGATATTTAATATCCACTGTTTCATTCATAGTAACAAAGTCTACATAAAACTTACACCTCTAATAAGAGATGATACGTACATAATGCTGTTATCCTCTTGTTGACAAATGTAGCTTGATTTATTTATTCTTCCATTTATCCAGTTTTGTTGTGGAATAGTTTAATTTATACATGAAGAATTGGGTGCTTGATGTTAGTAAAAATACAGCACTCCTTGTTGTGTCATATTGATCTCATGTGAGTTCAAATGCCTGCTGATAGACTGTATTTTTCAGCCTTTTCTCAGCCATGTCTCGCCGTAGAGTTGCCTGCCCTCAGATCACACAGCATCTTTGGGATGCCATCAAGATAATACGCAGTCAGCGACAGGTACCCAATGCGACCCGAATCACACGGTACATGTCTCGTGTGCATGGAGCCAAAGAAGGTAAGAACGTACACCAGAATACAGTGTCTCTGTCGACTTATGGTGTTTCTTAAGATCAGTGTAATTTTGTTCATATTAAGTGATTAAACTATTACATTGGTACAGGTATAATTTCTTTTCATTGAGATTCATCTTACCAAACATAGTAACTTAGAAGTAAAACACCTGAATTGTATTCATGTAATTCACTTTTTGAATGTTACCTGGAAAATCTGTTAACCGTTTTCCACATTACCTGTAGGAAAATGCTGTTATAGTATGTTTAAACCGACCGTGATTCTGTCCACTTCTGTAACCTCGACAGTTGAAGAAGCATAATCATATGACCAAAGCATCAGTCATGTATGCAAGAAACTCTGATAAGAATAAATGTGTGCTACTAAATATGCTTCCATTGTTAAAAATTTATGACACCGGTATAAAATGGAAATTATGATTCGCACTTGAGAACTGAATGCTTCTCATGAGGCAGATAGATATTGTAATTAGGAAGGTTACATCTTCAACAGAGTTTTCATTGTATGTATTAAAAAAAAAATATACATACTATGGTAACATAAAAATGTATATTTCATTACTTTATGTAAATGATGTCACCTTTTTCAATGTATATGTAGTCACTGTGTATTTGTAATAAAATTATTTTCTGCAATTTTTTCTCTTTGTTAATGGCTGTTCATACAGGGTGCAGGGTATCATTTTTGAGATTAGAAGATTTTATTGGATGAGTCATAGTCAGAAAATCCTGATCTTATTTGTGATTGTCTTGGCTTGAAGACTAGGTATTATGGCAGGTTTTTCATGCTTTTTCTTAGTCCTACCAGGGATGTAAAGTACCTTGAAAGTCATAACATTTCTTCCCATGTATTTTGATAATAATCATTCTAAATAATTGTGTCATTTCCCATTTGAACTGCATTACCTACACAGTGGACATAGTGTTTGTTGTAATTCTTTTGTGTGTGGAATGAGGTTAACCATCCTGTGTATTGTTTTATTTAACAGATATAAAACAAAAGGTCAAAGTAAAAGCACCTAAAAACAAACAAAAATTTTTCTCAAACTGGGGAACAATAAAACATGGAGTTCCCCAAGGGTCAATTTTAGGGCCCTTGCTTTTTATAATATACATAAATGACCTTCCTCCAACAATAAAAACAATAAATACTTTAACAGAACCCGTAATATTGGCTGATGACACAAGTGTCATAATTTCTAATAAAAATTTTGATGATTTCTGTTCAACATCAAACATAATTCTGTCTCATATGAGTAAATGGTTTACTGCTAACAAGTTGGCCCTAAATCTCGATAAAACGAATATAATAAAATTTATAACAAATAACTCACCACAGCTTGCTTTAAGTATTGGTTATAATGGGAAGTATATAGAAGAGTCAATAAACACAAAATTCTTGGGTTTGCAAATTGATAATCACCTAAATTGGACAAATCATATTGAT